GAGCAGCAGCAGCAGCAGCAGCAGCTGTCGACGGCACAGGGGGATCGGCAGGTTCCTGTGCGTCGCTCAGATGTGTTTCAAGTGCAGAAGCTACCGGATGGTCTCCGCGCCCTCTTCCGGTCGTCCTCAACCTCCGGTGCTCCTTCCCCCAAGTTTTCAACGCAGCAGCACCAGCAGATGCAGCAGCAGGTACAACAGATGCAGCAGCAGCAGCATCAGGTGCAGCAGCAATCACCAGCTCCCAGGGACCCTGTGTCAAGGACACCAGTGCAGCAGCAACACGAGCTTCTTTTGCAGCAGCATCAGCAACTGCAGCAGGAGCAAGTTCTGTTGCAGCTGCAGCAACATTTGCAACAGCAACAGCAACAGCAACAGCAACAGCAACAGCAACAGCAACAGCAGCAGCAACAGCAGCAGCAACAGCAGCAGCAACAGCAGCAGCAGCAGCAGCAACAGCAACAGTGGCAGCAGCAGCAACAACAACAACAGCAACAGCAGCAGCATCTGCAGCAGCAGCAGCACTTTCAGCAACATTCACAACAGCAGCAGGCAGGGCAGTTGCTGCATCAGAATTTCATCCAAGCCCCAGTCCCCACCATCACACAACCTTGTGCTATCAATGCCCCTCATGGTAGTCATTTCCAGCAACATTCTCTCAACGGTTTTCCTGCCATGCAAGAAGGGATACCAGCCATAGGTGGGGGATCATCCGCTAGTGCAGGCGCGAGTGCAGGTGTAATTGCCAATGCAGGTGGTAGTGTATTCACTAATCCAGGTGCAAATGCATTTGCGAATACAGGTGCAAATGCATTTAGTAACGAAGGCAATATTGCATTCGCTAATATAGGTGCTAATACAGGTGCTAATACAGGTGCAAGTGCATTCACTAATGCAGGTGCGATTGCATTTGCTAATACAGGTGCAAATGCATTAGCTAATACAGGTACGAGTACGTTTGCTACTATGGATGCTAGTGCAGGTGTGAGTGCAGGTGTGAGTGCAGGTGCGGGCAGGCAGAGGTCCCGTGGAGCTTGGAGGGAAGATGGGAGGCTGCTTAGCCTTGGGCTGCCTGATGTGCTGGTCACAGACGAGTCACCAGCATCACCTGCTGACATGAAAATGATGGATCTTGAGCTGAGATTGTAAGAGGAAAGGAACATCCAGTTTACGTAGTATTTTTATTTCCTTGACGTGTACGTACATTCAGCCTTTAAATCTGGATTTTGATGTGGAATCTAGGATGGAATGGAAGATCACTCTTGTTTTATATACCCTTATGATAGTAAAATACCATATGTATTTCTGATTTTGTTGTACCGATAACAGCGCTCTACCTTACAGTATACGTCGCGAAGCTGATTGTATGGCCTCCCCAGTCTTGCTCATTGAAAACTAACGTGCCCCCAATTCGCCCCAATTGAACACCCCAGACTCAAATCGAATCCTGCTCGCTACCAATGGTGCTAGGACAGCTGCTAAAAAGGGCATTTAGCGGGGCAATTAGGGAGGTAACCCAGCAAACGACCGTTTTCCAGAAGCTCTCCGTCGCGTCGCGTCTCTCTCTCGTCCTATTGGCTGAGCTCGCTGGTGTCGTTTCGACCGTCCCGTGCGGCGCGTTAGCACTCCTCCTCTACTCCCTCCTGCGCCTAGCTTCCCGCACCCGCGTTTTCCTCCGCCATTGCTGCCGAATATGGCGCCGGATTTCCCGCCGCGTGGTTCCTCCTCGGTTTTGGAGCCGCGTAGTCGCGACCGTTGCGCGGATCGCGGCGGGGTTGCAGCGGCTGAGCGGGTTGGTGAAAGCCCGCGGCTCGTTTTGGAGCCGGGTGTGTCCCCAACTCTCGGCCTTTCGTTCTCTTCTCCGATTGGCTCGAGTTCACGTGGTTACTGACGTCAGATATGGGCATCGACCGCGCAACATGTAAGTGACTGCCCCACACTACCGTTCTCTCCCCCCACCCCCCCACTCCGTCCTCCCTCCCCTCCCCCTTTTCCCTCCCTCCGACGCCCGCTGCTGTCTTCTTCACCACCCTCTTTTCTTTCTCAATGTGCCCCATCTTTCCGTCCAGAATGGATATTTATCTGCCCAGTTTCCACCATCACCGCAAGCACCACCACCACCATCATCATCACCACGACCGCCATCCCCAGCACGACAACACCGCTGCCACTGTCAGCGAAAACAACAGCACTAGCAGCAGCAGCACCATTACCAGAAGCAGCAGTAGCAGGAGTGAGGGGTGCAGGGTGGTGGTGTTTGTGCATGGGGGATGCTGGGTGAGCGGTGATAAGTGGCTTTACGCTCCCCTTGCTGCCAGATCCGCTGCCGAAGGGGCAATTGCGGTTGTTATTCAATACACCCTCTACCCCGAGGTAAGTCGGACTTGAAACTCTCATGGGCCATTTTCTGATCACGCCATTTTCTGGGCCAACATTTATGCAATAAATAGGTATACATGTAATATGTTTAACATGTTTTTTCCTTCCAATCCCGCCAGCTCTTAGCAGAGGGGCAGCAGGAGGAGGCAGGTGCGGCCTTCTCATGGGTGTGTGACAACATCCATGGCTACGGTGGCGACCCCACGCGTGTCTTCCTGTGCGGCCACTCCTCTGGTGCGCCTCTTGTGCTGTCCTTCATCTGTAAAACTGTGTTTTGTCGCGCGCTCTCATGGGCGTGCGATGGCATCCACAGCTATGGTGACGACCCCGCACTTGTCTTCCTGTGCGGCCACTCCTCTGGTGTGGCTCTCATCCATGCCCCTCTGCTGTACCCCTCCCTTGACAGATAATTTCACGTTAATTCCATTGACAAGTTTTGATTCCCATTTCTTCTAGTCGTGTTGAGCTCCCTTTGACCTTTGTTGACCCGTGCTGATCGTTTTTGGCACCAGTTGAGTCTTTTTGACCCCTGTTGACTCCAATTAGCCCCCTTTGACCCCATTGACTCGCATTGACTTCTGTTGACTCACAGGGTCGCACACGGTGGCCATGCTGATGTGGCGCCGCTTCAAGGAAGGCCTGTTGGGGGCAGCAGACGCAGCAGGCAGGGCAGCGAGGGCGGAAGGGGGGAGGAGGCAAGGAGAGGCAGGGACGGTGGGAGGTGAGAAGGGAGGGGGCAGTGGTACCAGAGAGGCTAAGGAAGGAGCTGCTTATCCAGATCACCATCACATTAAGAGTGTTAATGATGATAATCTTTATCATCAGCCGCAGCAGTGGGGTGAACGGCAGCAGTTTGAAGGGCACAGGGCTATAACAGATACCCGCCAGCCTTACTGTGTGATAGCACTGAGTGGCATTTTCGACCTTCACTACATGCACACGTATACAGTCACCACCAGCACCGCCCCTCTCACCTGCTTTGTCGAAGCAGTCGGAGGCCCAGCGGCCTTTGCGCGAGGCTCTCCTCCGAACCTGTTCTCAGCACTGGCCGAAGCTGTAGCAGCAGCAGGCCTGGAAACGCATGCCACAGCTACAGGAGGGGCCGAGAGTGTAGACACACCTTCATCTGATGCAGCCTTGTCTCTTTTCTTCTCCGAATTTGGGCGGCAGACTGGTGAAAGAATCATATCAGGCATTGTGGAAGGGAGTATAAAGCCTGCTGACTTCCTTCCCCCAATGCTGCTGCAGTGCAGCCCGGGAGATGCATATGCGCCGCCTCACTGCAGCCTCACACTAGAGCAAGCTCTGGGACGCGTGGGTGGTCGAGCAAAGGTTGCGGTTTACTCGTCCATGCATCACGCTCAGTTTGCGTGCCTCTGGAAGCCTTGGCCCCAACCTAAAGGCTTGGCCGAGGCTGAGGCTCGGGCTCGTAAGCGAGTCGGTCGGGTTTGGTGTGGTGATGGGTTACAGAGGGGTGATGCGTGGCTTGGTGGTGAATGGCTGGATTGGTTTTGTAGGTGTTGGGGGTTGGGTGAAGCTGAAAAGGCCAACCAAGACATGTTGGATGTAGTGGCAGGACGGGTGTTGCTTGACGATATACTGCAGGCTCGTTGTAGCTTCTAATCCTGTATGGTGTTTACTTTTTCTTACTATGTTGTTGTCAAATTTATATGTTCTCAATTTGTATGCTGGGTGTATTTGCTCTTCATTCCGTGTGCACTGTGCATGCCCAGTTTCCGCGTGAGCATGTTCGTGGACGCGGAAACGACAACCTGGCATGTACAGTACCGTACATTCGTGAAAAAGCCGCAATTCTGCTTCGCAGCTGCCCGGCGCGCACGAGACCGTCTTCCCCCTTGTCGCTTCTCGCCCAAAAAACATCAGCGCCGCCTCCCTCTTCCCCCCAAGGCTCATGCACCTCTGCCAACTGTTCCGCCTCACACCGCTCGCTTTACTCACTCAACGGGCAGCCTAATTATGGGGACACGTGGGTTATCCCACTCCCCTTGCCTCTATTTTAATTGCGTCTCGTCCGCTATGTGCGTCTCGTCCGCTATGTGCGTCGCGTCCCGCCCCGCTCCGCAATGTTAGGGGCTGAGACGTGCTTACGTGACGTGCATTGCTATAGTTGGCGTTTTTATCCGTCGTTTGAGGCGTGGCAGAAGCTGTCCTCCACCATCGTGGAATACATTCCCCGACAGCTTGTCTCTCGCAAGGAGGCATCTTGCATCGCGTATGTCTATAGTGATCCGAGACACGCTATGTAGTAGGCAATTCGCGCTTGTTTACACGCGAGATTCTATGCGCGTTAAAGGGCGAACTTCTGTAGGTTGACTGCAGTCAACGCGAGGGCTGTCTACTCCTGTGGCGCCTCATTATTGACTCGTTAGGTTGACTTCAGTCAGCGGAGCCGTCAACGGAGGAAACGCGCTGGTGGACCGCGGTGGCGCGGAGCAGGAGAACGGGTTCGCAAGCGGTGGCGGAAGAGCACGCGGAAAGGGAGGCGGAAGGGGAGGCGGAAGGGTAGGCGGAAGAGGAGGTGGAAGAGGCGGCGGAAGAGAAGACGGAAGAGGAGGCGGAGTAGGACTAAGGAAGCTAGTAAGCGGAACGGTCGCGCGGCAGAAATGCTGTCGCAGTCGTCGGGGGTGCCGCACTGGGAGGTCGAGGACGCGGGCGCGCGGGACGCGGCAGCGGCGGGGATGGCGGGCGGAAGCATGGCGGCGAGCGCGCCGATGCTCGCGCCCCTGTACCCGTCAATATCGATGGACGCGCAAGCGGTCGAGCTCGCGTCGTACATTCTCTTCCCGCCGCCGCCCAGCCACGGCTCGCCCTCCCTCCGATCCCTCAACGGTAAAGTTTCCTCCCCGCCGATCCCCCAGTTTGTACTGACTCCTCCCCCGTCCCCGCCCATGTCCTCGCCCCCGTCCCTGAACCAGCCCGAGCCCCGCCCCCCCCTTCCCCCCGCTATCATACTTCTGCACTTCCCTTTCCTCCTCGTGCCCCCGCGCGTACCGCCCGTCCTTCCTCCGCAGCTTCCCTTGCGCCAATGTTTCTCCCCTCTTTCCCGTCGCCCTCCGCGCGCTCCCCCTCTTTCCCCACGCCCACCCCTCCCCTCCCCTCCCCTCCCGCCTGTTCCCCAGGTTCCGCCGGAGGGCCCTCCGCGCCCACTAGCTCATCCGCGGCGGCGCACCTGGCGCGCCAGGCGGAGGCGGAAGAACCTCTGCTATTCGCGGAACGGATTTCCGCGCAGGCAAGGGGCGGGTTGGCGGGGGAAGCGACGGGGGGAATCGACGGGCACGTGGGGAGGGAAGGGGCGGAAGGGGGAGCTGAAGGGGTGGGCGCGGGGAGGGCAGAAGGAGCAATGGTAGGGGAAGGGGAAACGGGGGATAAAGGAAACGCAGCAGAAGGAGACGGAATAGTAGGAGGAGGAGGAGGAGGAGGAGGAGGAGGAGGAGGAGGAGGAGGAGGAGGAGGAGGAGGAGGAGGAGGAGGAGGAGGAGGAGGAGGAGGGGAGGAGGGAGGAGAGGGGAAGAGTGAGAGGTGTACCAGCAGTATCAAGTCATTGCAGCTTCTCTCCTCCTGGTCTTCGTCCCCCCCACTGCCCCCCCATCCACCTCTGCACCGCACCCCCTCCCTCCACCGCACCCCCTCCCTCCACCGCAGTTCTCCCCTTCACCGGGAATTATCCCTCCACCGCAATTCGCCCCTGCACAGGGAGCTATCCCTGCACTGCTCTTCACCGCTTCACCGCGAGTTATCACTCCAGCGCGGTTCACCCCTCCTCCGTGAGTTATCCCTGCACCGGGATTCCCCTCTGCACCGTGAGTTATCCCTGCACCGGGATTCCCCTCTGCACCGTGAGTTATCCCTGCACCGGGATTCCCCTCTGCACCGTGAGTTATCCCTGCACCGGGATTCCCCTCTGCACCGTGAGTTATCCCTGCACCGGGATTCCCCTCTGCACCGTGAGTTATCCCTGCACCGGGATTCCTCCTTGCATCAGGAGCTCTCTCTTGCGCACCACAAGCCCTCCCTGCAGCGCCACCAGCCTGTGACAGCGCTGCTGCAGCAGCAAGACGGCGGTTCTCCCTCTGCTCCTTCTGCTGCTCTTGCTGCTGGCACAGCTGCCACTGCTGCTGCTGGTGCTGCTGATGCAGGAGAAGCGGAGCAGAAGGGGCAGGGGGGGCAGCAGGCTTTTGCCGAGCCGCTCGTAACAAAAGGGGAGGCTTCTGCTGTGGGGGAGGGGGAAGGCGGACGTACAAGCATGGCAGGGGCGCAGGTGCAAGGGGGTGTGGCGCGCGGGGAAGGGGGAAAGGGAGGGAGCAGCGGGGAGGAGGGCAGAGAAACGGGAGAGGGCGGAGAGAGAGCGGGAGGAGGGGAAGGGGAGGGGGAGGGGGATTTGAGGTCTCTAGATCTGCATTTTGTGCCCTCTGCTCCCCGCTCTATCTTCCGCTTTGACTCTTACGAATTCAGTTTTTTCGGGCCTACTGATTCTGCAGGCTCGGGGGCCACTGTTGCCGGACCTGGCAGTCTGCTTCGGGGGCTCAGTGGTTTGGGACGGCAGCTGTCTATTAGCTGTGCGGAGCGGTTGCCGGAAAAGGTGGGGGGAAGGGGCGCACTGGGGGGAGGGGCGGAGTTGGGGGAAGAAGGGGAAGTAGGGGAAGGCGCTATTGCAGGGGGAAAGGGATCGGGGGAGCATGGGGAGGAGCAGGGGAAGGGAGGGCGAGAGGGAGGGATAGAAGGCGGATGGGGGAGGGGGAAGGACGGGAATGGGGCGGAAGGGGGAGAGCTTGGTGGTGTTGAAATGGGCGGCAGTGGCATGGGGATGGGCGGCAGTGGTGCTGCCTTGGCGCGCACAGGTGTTGGTGTGGGCGGCAGTGGGACTATAGGTGCGACGTGGCGGCGAATCATGGGGAATACGAGCAAGGAAGGTGGGCTGTATGATGGTGGCAAGGCTGGTGCTGTGGGTGTGAGCACAGGCGCAGGCACAGGCATGGGCATGGGCGTGGGCATGGGCATGGGTATAGGCATGGGCATGCATGGGGAAATGGGGGAGGGGATAGTTCGTACTGACAGTTCATGTCTTGATGCTGTTGTGAACCCCCTCAGGCGTGTTGCGTTCGAACCCCCTGCTGCTGCTGCTGCTGCTGCTGCTGCTCGTGCTGATTCTGCTGCCACCGCTCCTTCAGCTGTCCCTGCTACAGCTGCCCCTGCTACAGCTGCCACTGCTACAGCTGCTGATCCTGGTCAAGACACCAGGATGACCACAGCAGCGGCAGCAGCAGCAGCAGCAGTCAACGCCTCACCTCCTCCTGCTCCTCCTGCTCCTGCTCCTGCTCCTGCTCCTTGTGCTGCTGCCACCAGCACGGCTGCTGCCACCAGCACGGCTGCTGCCACCAGCAGGGCTGCTGCCAGCAGCAGGGCTGCTGCCAGCAGCAGGGCTGCTGCCAGCAGCAGGGCAGCCGATCCCCCATTCACCTTCACCACCAAGCAAAGCCGCAGCCCCACTCCCCCTCCCGCCTCCCTCCTGCCCTCCCTCCCCCTCTCCCTCCGCATGCGTCCCCCCAGGCTCATCCTCCCCCCCGACCACTCCCCCATGCACTCCCCCTTGCACCCCAGCCCGCCACTCTCCCCCGTGCCTCTCCGCCCCTCCCTCTCACCAGCTCCCCCCCGCCCCTCCCTCTCCCCCGCCCCTCGCCACCCCTCCCCCTCTGTCTCCGCGTCTCTCTCCCCCACGTCCTCCACCCCATGTAACACACTCCCTCTCACGTCTGTTACCAGGCCTCTCCCACCCGCTGCCCTTGCCCTGCAAGACACGCAAGCCTCTCACGCCCATCCATCCCACACTCATACCACCCACGCCCATGCCCCCCATGTGCACCCATCGAAGCGTCTCAAGCTGTTTCCCAGCCCTTCCCCTAGCCCCCTCCCTAGCCCTAGGGGTGCTGCTGTTGCTGCCGCCGCCGCCGCCGCCGCCGCTGCTGATGGTGCTGCTGGTGGTGCCGCTGGTGCTGCTGGTGGTGGTGGTGGTGGTGTTGCTGCTGTTTCTGCTGCTGCTGCTGGTGTTGCCACTGGTGCTGTTGGTACCAGTGGTGGTGCAGCTATGTATTTCCCTCGGTCTCGTTCCACTGGTGGTGCTGGTGCTGCTGCTGCTGCTGGTGGTGGTGGTGCTGCTGCTTCTGCTGCTGCTGGTGGTGTTGCCGCTGGTGCTGTTGGTACCAGTGGTGGTGCGGCTATGTATTTCCCTCGGTCTCGTTCCACTGGTGGTGTTGGTGCTGCTGCTGGTGGTGGTGGTGGTGGTGATGCTGCTGCTGCTGGTGGTGTTGCCGCTGGTGCTGTTGGAACCAGTGATGGTGCGGCTATGTATTTCCCTCGGTCTCGTTCCACTGGTGGTGGTGGTGGTGGTGGTGGTGGTGGTGGTGGTGGTGGTGGTGGTGCGACTATGCATTTCCCTCTGACTCGATCAGCTGCTGGTGCTGCTGGTGTTGATGGTGCAACTGAGCGTTTCCCTCAGTCTCGCTCCTTAGGTTCAGACGGCGGGTTGGCAGATGGAGGAGAAAGCGGGAGGGTGGGAGGGGCTGGTAGGAGCCTGTGGGGAGGGATGGATGTGGGAAACGGCTTGCCTGCTGCTGCGGCAGCTGGTACCACTGTTTCCCCTGTTGCCGCTGGTGGTGCTGGTACACCCATGCGATTTCCTCAGTCTCGATCCGTTGGCTCAGAAAGCGGGGTTGGCAGGCGGAGAAAGCGGGAGGTTGGGGATGACTGGGGCCATGGTAGGGATGGGTAACGAGGTGTGGGGAGGGGTGCACGAGGGTAAGGGAGTACACGGAGGGGTACAAGGGGGAATTGATCTGAACCAAGTGCGGCTGAGCCCTGGACCACAGATAGGAACGCTCGGCATGAGCATGGGGGAAAATGCAGCGGGTGGGGGAGGGGGAGGGGGAGGAGGGGCAGTGGGCGTGGGGGAAGGGGTAAAGGGCGCACAGGGGACGGGGGAAAGGGTAGGGGGCGCAATGGGGATGGGGGAAGGGATAGGAGGGGCATTGAGCTTGGGGGATGGAGATATGGGAGCGGCATTGCTGCGGCTTGTGGGGGGGGGGTCTGGGGGGAGTGGGTACGGTGGAAGGAGGGGCGTTGGCAGCACTGCTGGCGGGTGTGTTGGGAGGGGGCAGTGGGGGGAAGCTTCCTTTGAGCCTCACAGAGAGTGCTGCTGCTTTGGGCCTCACTGGGAGTGCTTCTGCTGCTGCTGCCAGCAGTGCTGCCACATGCTCTGCTGGGCTCAATCCAGCCGTTGGATTGAGTGCTGCTGGGCTCAATCCAGCCGTTGGATCGAGTGCTGCTGGGCTAAATCCAGCCGTTGCTCCACCTACGGCTGCAGGCACTGCAGTGCAAAGAGGGGCTAGAGGCCCCACTCCCACCTCGCGCCCCCCCTCCCCTCTCCCTCTCCACTGCACTCTGCCTCTCCTCCCACACACTTCATCTGCTCCTGGTGGTACTCCCGCTGCCCCTGCTCCTGCTCCTGCTCCTTCTGCTCCTACTGCTGCTGCTGCTGCTGCTGCTGCTGCTGCTGCGGCTGCTGCCGCTGCCCCTGGTGCTGCGATGCCTGTCATGGACCATCAGACAGGGGTTGCAAGTATTCTCCTTGGGAATACTGCCGCTGTCACCGGTGCTACTGCTGTTGCTGCTGTTACTTCTCCTGCGGCTGCTTTCCCTGCCTCAGTGTCTCAAGCAGAACTCTCTCCTCGACCTGGGCTCGATGCTTCCACTTACGCTGCGTCTGCTTTTGCTGCTTCTGCTGCCGCCTCTGATAGCTTTTGTGCTGGTGCTGGTGCTGGTGCTGGTGCTGGTGCTGGTGCTGGTGCTGGTGCTGGTGCTGGTGCTGGTTTAGGTGGTGCTGCTGTTTCTGGTGGTGCTGCTGTTTCTGGTGGTGCTGCTGTTTCTGGTGGTGCTGCTGTTTCTGGTGCGGGTGCTGGTGGTTTGATCAATGCAGCTGGTTTGAGCGAGTTGAGCCAGGGTAGCTCCATGCATGCGCTGCTGATGCTGCAGAAGCAGTTTCTTAAGCAGCAGTTGCATCAGCTGGAGCAGCAGCAGCTGCAACAGCAGCTGCAACAGCAGCAGCAACAGCAGCAGCAACAGCAGCAGCAACAGCAGCAGCAACAGCACCAGCAGCTGCTGCAACAGTTGCAGCAGCAGCAGCAGCAACAGCAACAGCAGCAGCAGCATCAGCAGGAACAACAGCAGCAGCAGCAACAGCAACAGCAGCAACAGCAGCAGCTGCTGCAACAGTTGCAGCAACAGCAGGGGCAACATCAGCAGCAACAGCAGCAGGAGCAGCAGCAGGGGCAACAGCAGCAGCTCCAGCTGCTGCAACAGTTGCAGCAGCAGCAGGGGCAACAGCAGCAGCAACAACAGCCGCAGCAGCTGCAGCAGCGACAGCAGGAGCAACAGCAATCGCAGCAGCCATTGGACCTTCTTCAACAGCAGCAACTGCTACTTGAGTTGCGGCAGCAGCAGCAGCAACAGCAGCCGCAGCAGCAGGTTATTCGGGGCCCATCTCAGTCCACCAGCTCTCACCCACAACTCCAGCCCAACCAGCACAACCAGCAGCAGCAGCAGCAGCAGGCAGGGAGCGCCGTGAGACAGTCCCTGAGTAGCAACTCGCTGACCACCAGCACTGCCACCCCCAATGGCATCACAACCGCTGCTGTCCATGTGGGTGTGCCGTTTGGGAGAGGCAGCTCATGGGGCTCGTCTCCTGTGTCTGCTGCTCCTGCCGCCATTTCTGCTGCTGCTGCCTCCTGGTGGAGCCAGTGCTGCTGGCTGCTTTCTGCGGGTGTTACTGCTGCTGCTGCTGCTGCTCTCTGGAGCAGCGGCAGGTGGGTCTGCAGTGGCAGGAGTAGCAGGTGTGGCAGGTGCTGTTGCTCTACCAGCAACAGCAGCTGTTGGAGAAGCAGCAGCAGCAGCAGCAGTAGCAGGAGCACCAGGAGCAGCTGCAGGTGGTGGTGGTGGTGGTGGTGGTGGTAGTCGAAATGTGGTAAAAGGGAGGGCTGGCGCAGGGAGAGGAGGAGGGGGGGCTGGTCCGGGTCAGGTTTTGGATGAGGATGGGGAGGACAGCACGGGCGACTCAGAGCGAGGGGAGGGGGGAGGAGGAGGGTGGGGAGGACCTGGGGCTGAGAGGGGTGGGACGGCCAGGTCCCAGGAGGAAGAGTGGTGCAGTCACCAAGCCGTGTGCTGCTGCGCGGGTAAGTGCAGGGGGGGGCTGTAGGGCGCGGGTGAGGGGAAGGTAAGTGGGAAGTGTAGGGGGAAGGAGGAGGGTGTGTGCGACCGAGGAGGAAGAGTGGTGCAGTCACCAAGCTGTGTGCTGCTGTCTGGGTAAGTGCAGGGGGGGGGAGGGGGTGGGGGGAGGGGAGGGGATGGGAAAAGGGGAACTGTTGGGGAAGGGAAGAGTGTGGGAGGAGGGGGGGTGGAACAGAGGAGGAAGAGTGATGCGGTCACCAAGCCATGTGTGGCCGCCCGGGTGACTGGAGCTGGGGGGGAGAAGGGTGTGTGGGGAAGGGGGGAGCGTGCGAGGAAAGGGGGAAAAGGGATTGCTGTGGTGTGTTCCTCGCTAATCGCTGTCCCCCTCCCTTCTCATCAGTGCTCCCTCTCCCCTACTCTTTGTGTCCACCACGCTCTCGAGTCTGTTCCCCTCTTCTCCTCACTCACCTCTCTGCCTCTCC